ACTAGTCCAGCCTCCAGAATTGTCAAGTTGTGCCAACAATTTACCGAATAGATGCACAGAGAGAATAGAGTTACCTGTCAAAAAAATACAATATGACGGGACACTGGCCAGACCCCTTGAACCAGAGTAACATAAACCCGGCGTATCTCTTAGTAGTGCGGTTGGATGGAATAAGTTTGAGAGCAGAATTGGCTGGAATGCATTAGAAAGGATGCGGTTTTACATTCGTGGGATGTTAGATTAAATGTGACGGTGCTGACAACGCGTTTGAATAGCTACGTTCAATTGAAGACATGAAATACGCCTTTGTTTAAAGAATGACACTACGGTATGCACGGACTTTGGACGTCTCGTGTAAAATTATCACGAAAGTGTCATTGTGACAAGCAATGTTCGCGTGACTTGTTTTCAATAGCATGCTAACGGCCTATATGTTGCAGTTATGGTTTTGACCTGTACATTGTTCACTTCTGTTTATCACAATATTGTTATGTTGAGTAGTTTATGGTCAATTAGACAGTCATCAAGGCTGATTTTATCTGCGTGACTCATCAATTATTTTCAGATCTCGATATTACATGTGCGTGCATGCCATGGGTATCTCCGTAATCATAAGCACCCGGTGAGTTGGAGTGAAAAGTCAACTAAGTCGCAAGACTCTAATCTCGTATTTAACTTCGTTCTATGCTAAGAGCTGAAGAGTCACTGGCTAGACTAAACTGTTTTCTCATCGTGTAAGAAAGGATTTCCGGCTTAAACAAATGGCAGAAAATCTGTATTTTCAAAAGCCTAAATCTAGAAGATGCAACAAATCCTATCTCGTCGTGTTGTCATAGCAAAGCCGGTTACTACACATTGTGAACAAAGTGTAAGCTAACAGCTCAAAGGCAAGAATCGAACGCACTTAATGACTGACCTCGAAATGAGAAAGTATTAAGGCTGAAGTGTTTCGAACAGTCCACAATTTTCGCGCAATTGAAAGCTTTTGTGGCAAAGGGTGCGCAAATGCGCTTCACAGTTGTCTTTCCTGCTTCATAATATCTTATCTCGTTCGTAAGTGTGTGCTTATTAAAGTGAATACATAAAATAATCAATGAATATATGTAGATAATCAGATCTAACCACTAATACTGACTCGTTTCCTTCTTAGAGACCACGTTTGTTGAAATCGTGTTTACCCCCTTCCTTTTCGATCAGTTCGAAGAAAAAAAAATTGAACTTTTTTTTTTCTCAATAATAGCTAGTTACTCTAAATTTGTAATTATCATAGTTCACATCAACCATATTGAATGATGTTACCTGGATAACTAAAGTCCTCTTCAATCTTTGCCTATTCGTGCCTCGCCAGTTTCTGCTGTGTCAGCCGCTCACGCAAACAGTGCGATTCAATTAACTATTGTACAGTACAGTTGAAAAGCATGTGTTAAAACCAGCAAGCCTCTTGGACTGTGGACCATGTGCGATGATCGATGGACTATTTTATCGTCACGTAATATATGATATATATGTCCAATATCGGTACATATGTACGACTGGATCTATCAGGGGCACCCAACGGATCGTTTCGGTAAATTATCTGTTCGGAAGGCCTTTAATCCCCTCTGATTTTCTTCAGAGAATTGNCAACCTAAAATTAACCTACAGAGCTTTAAAAGTACTCCAGATAGCCTAAAACAGCATCTAACAGCATTAGAGAGAAAACGGTCGTTGGGTGCCCCTGATCTATGAAAACCGTGTCAGTACTTCACGACAAATCACCCATGTACACTTATATCTTTGATTTCACGTCTCCTGAAGGCCTTAAAATCACTCCAAGCGATGAAACAAAAATAGAGAAGAGCAAGGAAAAGAGGGTGAAGAAAAAAAAACCGAAATTCCTTTTAATTTTTATATCGTCTACCGATTGAGCGTCTATCGCTTAAGCAGGGCGCAATTTCTTTGACACTGTTTTCATAAATCCAGACATGTATATATGTCTAAGGGTCCAGGTTTTGGTGCGTGCCTTTTCAGGAAATGATACCGCGCGAGTCATGTCGGCATATCAAGAAGACTAATTAAGTGAGTCAAGTTGATGACTAACACTGAAGAATGATAAAAGCCACAGAACCTAAAGAAGCTAGTTTTGTGAATCCTGAAAAACTTCTGTCTAAATGTTTCAAGTCCATCACAATCTTGGATTTATTTTTACCTCTCCAGTGATTATTTTACTTGATACCAAATATTTGGACAGTTCAATTCATGTAATGAAAATCCCGCTCGTTAAATTCGAAATATGAACAAAGATAGCAATAACGTGACTAAAAATATAAATACAAAATGTAAAGAGAAACGGAAATTCTCAGTGATATATGATTGAACTTCAGTCTGGCAGCTCGATCAGTAGAAAAATGCCAAACTCAGTTGCTGAAAACGCGCTTGGAATTTCTGTGATATTCTTTTTCGAGCATGTTCTGCAAATAATTACATGGCACGCAATCTTAGCGAAGACTAGAAAGTCATGCAAACTCCGGGCTAACAAGATCCCATAACTACATTTAACGTACACACTAAAGCTCGCTTCTTGTTTAAGTTTGCTCCGTTAAAAAAATGACCCTCTCCCTTCCATGTGAGTGACCCCATAAAAAACTGACGCTCTCGTGAACTTCTCGTCTGGTTTGCAAGATCTACAAAACTGGCGTTCAATTACTTTTAATCTGATTGAGTGGGGAGAAAGCAACCTTTTATCCAGGTGGAAATACAAAGATTATAAGGCATAACTGATATGCTGTTATATCAATATAACAATAGCTTCAGAACGATAACTGAAATTTCATGGCATGTCTAGAATTACTACTGTTTCCAAAAACTGAGTGACCGGCTTTCAGTCAGACTGTAGTACAGAAATAAATCATTTCCTACTTAAAAGGGTGTTAAGAGTTAAGCGTACTTAAAGAAGGATCAAAGCTGTTTAATCCACGATAAAAAACCAAAACCCCAATGAATTAAAATTTACCCCCGTTGTAGATCGACACGTGAGCCGTCTAGCTGTGCGCTACGGCAGCCGGTAAAGATAACAGAACTCTTACTGGATTTTAGCCTGTTGTGCTCGTGATCGAACTTCATTACGGCAGACAACGGCTTATCAAAACAATTAGACTCTGTTTGCAGTTTAATATGAACATCTTTCAATGTTATTATTTTTTTTTAAATTGAGGCAAAGCTTCGGTTTTTGTGTAAATCACCCACAATTCCCCACATTCACTAGGAATACGAGTGGTAAGTCCGAGATTCGCCGAGACTTCAAGATCCGTGTTTGAAAATCGGAGAACGGTTTGCACATCTTGAAATATTTAGCCTAGATTTTTCAAGTTTGTTTGTCGTTCGTAATCCGTGTTAATCTTCTCCATCCTTAACCATACTTGTCTCTTTATGGTTTATTATTGTCTCTTTGGTGTTTTTCCATCTTAGAAAACTACTATTTTTAGGTTTCCTTCAATTTAAAGATAACTTTGTAAGCGGCCAGAATAACTCAAAATGCCGTGAATGAACTCCTTTAAAAAATTTAAGAATCCCAGACAGTAAGAAATATACACAAAAAAATTCTTCGCGCTTCTCACTAAGGATTTCGAGATCGGATCTAAAGGTTTCCGAGATCCACGATTTCCTAGATATCAGATTCTCCACCGCTACTAGGCTGTGTGTCCCTTCTGTCCTGAATCACTCTCTACCCCTGTGTGCTAGAAATTTAAGGTGGCTCGCTGTATCGCCTGTTTCAGTATTTACGGTTGCCTAGCGGGCGGAGAAAGCTCTTGTAGTATGCTTAAATTACTAACAGCATAGTACCGTTTCGCTGTCAAAGGTACAGTTTTACCGCTCCCTAAAAACTAGGTTGAAACTGAACGCGGAGACTTAGTTTGTTATACTGACTTTCAATATAAATTCTTACTAACGCGCACAAGATTTCCTTTAAAATTTGGTCCGAAATGTCCTTGTAGTTTCCTAATTTGGTAAAACTAATTTGATAAAATTAGTTCCATGCAACACTAGAAAATTCTAATTACGTTTGAACGATAGATCGAATTTTTGACCTGTGCATGTCACAAGTCTGGTAAAGTAATACCACTCAGACAGCCTACTACACCTTACAGTAGCTGACAGGAAATAAGCTTTTACTGAACGACAGCCAGCTGTTGATTCATGAAAGCTCATAAGAATATTCCCATCATAGTGACTGAGATAAACTTATAAAGTAATATGATATAACAGAAACTAAACCCATCCGTGCGTGATTCGCATATCCAAAGGCAACAAAGTGCAATAAGTTTCGTATTGACCAGCCAGACAAATACCCCAGTAATGGAATGAAGCTAAAAAAAAATATGGCTAAAATATATATCCTTCTAAAGGAAATACAGGTCAGGACTCAGGCTTTATTTTTCAAGCTGGTGATGAACGATTGCTTGAAAATGAGACGTAATCATTTCCCAGCGCATATCACATGTTTTTTTAAGTCTGCAAGCCACAACACACCCTCGTCGTACCCTCGTCGTTTTGTTACGTAATTATCTGAGTCGTTCTAAACATGGACAGAGACTGAGAAGTAAAAACATTTCAAGAACATAGTGTGACTATGAGCCGAACTGTGCTAATGATTTGATTGTTTTACAAATCCTTCAACGCAAACTTCTATAACTGCCGCTGTAACCCGAGGACTGGAGAACTATTTTGACTTTTTTGTATGGCTCGGATTAATTCTGTCGGTGTGTTGTACTCATACACGAAAAATCCAAGTAAGTTGTGTATTTAAACATATATTAAACTCTTGGGAGCTTTGTAACTCGCTAAAACGCGTTAGAATCAAATTCTTCACGGATCAACTGACCACCGGTACCAATTCTACAAAAAACACAACGAAAGCGACGCAACACAAAATAACCCGTCTTCAAAAGTATACAAATAATACAAAGTACGTTAGGTACTATTTATGTAAAACTTACAGTTAAGCTAATTATATGCCCTACCTATCAGATTTATCCTCAGTATATGAGCTGTAGCAGTGGAAATCACAAATAAAGCGCTCGGGAACTTTTAGCCAGAGTCCTGAAGTAATTTTACGCTTCCAAGTAAATTTGCGCGCGATCCACGTCTAGTCCCAAATTATAGTGGTCAGCGGTGATGTCAGTTTTAGGAACCAAAATTGGCAACCCGTTTTACTAGTTTAATTGCTGAAAAGGCATAAATAATATGAAATAGAGAATCTCACTAAACCACGAATAAGAAAGCGGTCGCCCGCTAGAAAGACAAATAGTAGTGAAAACCGATTCTGCATATAGAATTTTAACCACCTATATTTACTGTGCGTGCTCGGGTGTAAAAGCGCGCGAGGAGTGAAATGACACCAACAATAATTTGAACTTTATCCTCGTTGCATCTTTGAACTCTAATAGCTAAAAAAAAAAAATCAACTTTGTGTGTGCGCCTTGTAGCCACACCCAATTAGCTGAGGACTTAAGAGCATTGTGTTTAGTGTTTCAGGTTCTTGCTTCATCGCCAGTAACAAAAAATTCGTACGTTCGAAAGTTCGTAATGATTTTTAAAGACTTGAGAAAAAGTGGTCGGACTGCTCAAATCTAAGCCCGTCTTCGAAAAACATCATAATGTAGGGTATTAAACAATCATTTAAGAGCTACTGAATATGAGAGAGCCTAGCCTAATCTTTGGACTTTGCATCTAAACATAATTATGCGTTCTTCGAGGTAAATTAATGTTAAGTACAAATCGTTCCAGAAACTCGTATTAAAGGGAAGTTTCTGATGGTGCCTATGGTTACATGCAACTTGCTACTGATCGAGGAAAAATCTAGAACAACAGCAGGAGAGGGCACTTACATGAAACCCCCCATTTGTGTGGGACGATGGTGAAGTGAACTACCTAAGAATCTAGCAGATGCTCCCTAACCTGACACATAGTCCTTCCTTGACACTGAATTTTAAAAACTTTCCATCATTCCACGAGCAGTGAAGTTCTGTGACGAAATACATTTCTCAAAAAAAAATTATGAAGCACTTCTATCTATGCCAAGCTTTGTACTGACGTAAACCTTCAAAAAGTTGAAATGCTCTGATCTGTGAAAGTTCTGACTCAAATTTAAAAAAACTATCGGGATTTATATTTAGCGAGGTGATCACGTGCTCTCCATATATGGCCATTCTTACCAAGGATCAGGGTTCAGTTTCACTGATTTTTAAGCAAGGGACCGGAGACAAGGGATCCTTTTTTTCTAGCTGAAATACCATGTTGGCATGGCTATCCTTAATTTACCGCTAAAGATATCAGTGATGGTGTCATTTGAAAAAATTCCATTTTTTTTTTGAGTCGTTTAGAGGTAGATATCTTGTAACCATAGGCGGTTAACATGGTCACTGAATGTCCGTCTCGACTCTCTCAGCTTAGTCCAAGTGTAGCGAGGTCGGGGCAAAGAAATAACTACACGTATCTTAATTTCTTTTTATGATATTCTAGAGATGATTGATGCCATTTTACTAATGCTGCGTTTGCCAGACTTATTCAGTTATGAGCTATAAACTGAAAAGTGTGGATTCTGAAGGGCACACGCAAGTTATAAACCAAATTGCAATGCCGGCGATTGACCTAAACATAGGCAAATTTGCCGGGTAACAATCCTTTGTCTTGTTTTCTCACTAAGTCTGCATGACTCTTTAGTGGAATTCTCTTGTGAAAACTGTTAAGAAAGGCAACGCGAGACCTTTTGTAGACTTTGTATTGAAGTACCCAAAGTGGAGAAAAGGTGCAGTATATCAGATGACTTAATCTGCATGCAATCTTACACTGTGCACTTCCTATAAGTAATAAACTGTTGACTGATCACATTTAGTCCTCTGAAATGAGAACAAGTACGCGCTGATTGACTTTCAATCTCAATCGCTGGCGATTTTCTTCCTTCCTGATGCCTCTGGTTTGAGCAAACATTTTCAAGACACTTTATGGACAACGAAATCTTCTAGACTTGCAAAATCATAACCTTTATAGTTGCTTTTGTGTGTTACCACTTAAATGCCTGCTCTTGCCTTGATTTTGCATGCAATTTTCCGACCGTCTCAAGTCTCTCTGTTGAGAATTTTAATTGCATGTTGTTACGCCGCATTCCTAGTCTGTTCTACCTCGTTGCGTTTCCGTTCTAATAATTCTAATCAGATTACTGACCCTTTACAAACACATCGTCGTGTGCACATGTGTCGATTGGATAAACCTCTAGTGGAGGATGGAAATTGAACACAAGCCCTAGTGAATACCTTACCGGTGAAACTTAGAAATGTTTTCACACAAAACTAGGCCTCTTCAAGTTAAAACATCATCAATGGGCTACTTGGTTAAATTTCACGCGGGAAAAAGAAGGCTTTTGAAGGCTGTCTTGGAGAACGTGAACTGTGCATTAGACATAAACAACGCGACGCAGCGTGCGAGACACTGTAAAGTTTGCCATGGCGATAATCCAATATTTTAATGGTGTCAATCAATCCCATTAATCAAGATATGTCACAAAAAGGCAGATATCACCGAGATATTAATCCTCAAGTCCTGGAGGCAAAACAATCGCCGCTATTCGTATACAGAAGTTGTATTGCTGTGTTGATAGTTTTAGTCAATCAAAAGCGCATCATTTACGAGCACTAAAACGCCGCACACATTTTTAACCCCTAATGTATAAAAACATACCCCTCCTGGTTCCACTTTACAAAGATGTTGTCTCCTTAAAGATCATAAATCTGGTATTCAGTCATGACCACTTTGCAATATGATTTGCAAATAGCATGTTGGCAGAATTACAAATCCATACTGTTATTCTATGGCATATAAGGAAGAGAATTCTGGTTTAAAGACAGGAAATCCATGTAATTTAGTTCATAAACAACAAAACTCATAACAATAGTCACAATACAACATGAAAATATTATTGTCTATATTTTCCCAGTGTGTTGTCATTGCAAACGCTTTCACGTAGTCTGAGACATGCTAAGAACTGTGAATAAATGTTTTGACCGCCAATGTTTTTTTGTTGTTGAGACTGGCATTGGTCCAGACCTCTTTGAATTGTATCAAGCCTAGACAACAAACTTTGTACTCTTAGTTGGACTTTCAACTCAACTTAGGTTTCATCTTTTTCACTTGATAGTTCAGCGCTTCAGTTCTCGCTACATGAAAGATTCTCAGCGTACAGGGGTTTAACCCTGTGGAATACTGTAACATGCAAACATAATAGCCTGGTGAATAGGACTCGATACTTAAAATCAAAAACTTAAATCTTCAGACATTTTTAATGACTTTAATTTCAAGGTGATCTCTCCGTCAACTTGTAGTTTTAGATGCGAAGAGCTTGTACATCACGGATTTTTAGATTTTAAGATTTTCATTGTAGTTTTCTAGTTATAGTTTCTAGATATTTTAGTTTTTAGTACAAACGACCCCACAGCTAACAAGCTTCTTACCTTTAATTCTCATATGCTAGGTTATTCTCTGTTAAAGAAGTATCTATCTATTTTATAAGAACTTATGAATTAAATCGCTCGTAGTTTTTTTCGTGATGCCGAAAGTTAAGAATGCCTCTTGCAAGATTTGCAACTATGAAGAGAGTACTTTTGGAGTTCTGTTTACTCTATTTTTCTCTCTTTCAAACAAAACGGCACAAACGATCGACTTAACCGCATGCCGGTAGTCGGTCGAAGCATCCCTGTAGTATACCGCATGACCCTATATTTTGGCTGTTCACTTTTAGCTGTTGAATGAATCAATATTAATCACAGAAGTCAAACAGTTAAACACTAATTTACTCTAAAGCTATGGACTCAGGAACTTGAGTTAAGTGAAGAAAATAAGAATAAAGAACAATATAATCTACAACTAATCAATAAAGTCCAATCACATTACACGTATATACGTAAAACCTAGAGGGAGATGTTTTGATTAAAATGTCAAGATTGTTATGTAACTCTGATAACTTAGCAACTGAGCTTAAACCAGATCGAGATGAAATATTAGCTATATGAATATCATTGTTTCGAGTTTATAATAAGGCTCCTTATTTTAAAGTTATATTTATCGGAAATAGCAGACATTTCTGACATGAATACCACCAATAACTTAGTTAGAATATTCTTTTCCCGAACATTAACATATTGCCCTGAAGGGTGTCCCGCAAATTTGACTTTATTAGAAATGCTGTAACGTAAGCTCTGCTCGATTGACAAAAGTTGGAATGAATTGAATCCATGTAAGTAATTCTACACTACACTGGTGTTGTACTGAGTGATCTAATAGTGACTGATTTAATTTACTATGTAAAAGTAAGTCAATCCATGGAAATCAATGCCTCTGTAAGGTTAAAGTCACGAGTTTATAGTTCGTGGTTTAGCTCCAAGCACGTTGCATTTGTGAAACGACACTTCAGATGTGATTGAAGTCAAACCAAAAGAGCAAGTGTAATTTCGTTACAAGACAGATTTCTCTGCTTTAAATTCTGATCGTGTGCCTGGCTTTAATTATATGTACCCTCAAATTCCTCACTATGCTAGTAGCATATGTTCTGTGTTCAAACTGTCAGACACGCGCTGTCAGCACCCGTGAACGGGGAAAAAAAGACAAGGTCAACCTAGCAGGGCTGTAGCCAGAAAAAAATATGACTGAGACAATGGTCATAGTTTAATTCCTTTCCTAGGTATTTAGGGTGTTTATGATGACTGAAAACCATGAACAAAAACGAAAAACAATGACTGAGGCAAGTGTCTCTGTTTGCCTGTTACTTGCTAAGGCTCTGCCTTGGATCATTTTTGGCTGAGACTGTGTTTGTAGCTTATCGAGAAGGAACATTGCCTTGTCATGCCTAAACCCAACCAATCTTAGCTTGTGCGTTGATAGCATGATTGTCTTTCGCGATATTGTTCACTCTCACTTGCGGTTGTGTAGCCTTTTAGTCGCGACTTCAAGTTAAACCTAATGATTTCTTCACTAATCTCCATGCGCTTATTATATTACTACCCTGGTTCCAGAGGTTTTCCCCTTCCCATTTTTCAAACTCATTAACAATTCATCAAGGTTTCAGCGAAGGAAATCATAGCCGTGACGGTAGACGGTATATTTTGTTTCTCGTTTTCTCCTTAGTTTAGGTTTTGATTGAGAATATATACTACACTCAAAACAGTGTTTGACCAGATTTCCAAATATACCTCGAAGCTCGTCACAAATAGGCGTTGCGCGTCGGAATTTCGTTGTATTACTCTTTTCTCAGTGTGTGGAAACGTGGCTAAACACGGTCTTTTGTGTATGACGCTTCCACGGCAGTCGGCAGTTTATTAAAACATTTATAGCATAGAGCAACAGGACGCGCGGAAACGAGGAAAACTTTCGCGCTTTGTCTTAGGCCGGAACTCTCATAGGGGGCAGATGGACGCGTATTCCTTAATCGCAGACTAAATAAGAAGTCCGGCCCAAACAAAGCGTTAAATTGTCTGTGGCTGGGTATTCGTGACCACGTACGTTTTTCAGCCAAAGTGGCTTGCACTTCTTATGGCGTGCGTCGACAAACTGAAACTTGGGAAGACAGATCATGTGTAGATTTTGTGTTAACATGACTTGGTTGTGGAGTACTAGTTTTGCGTCGGTGTTCATCAAAGCTTCGCGTTTAGATTAGGTTACCTAATTCTGGGGTTTGTTATAAAGATGCCACAATCGATAATCACGATATAACTTTTATCGACATATTTAGCATGTAGGAGGGTTTTGAACCGTTTACAAAATACTGAAGTTTGCACCGCACGTTTGAATATCACCCATGTTAGTATAAACAACGCCTGGGCGTCATATTCTTTTTAACCGTTGTTCCCGTCTGACCTCGTATGAGCTCAGCCGGAAACTTACTCTCTAAGAGGATTACCAGTACTTCAGCTATCAAGTGCCCAAGAGAAGTGTCAGAGATGGAAATGCGAAAAAATTTGCATGGAAAACTTCGTTCATCACGTCTGTCACAATGTTTGGCGTCATACTTCAAAAAAATACTGAGAAATTTCATCAACTTTTTTTTTTCGTTATAAGATCTGATTATCGCGTGCTAGAGTGATCGATCAAATGTACAAATGCGTGACATTGTGTTAGGGAAAGTACTCATTGTTCATCAGGGGGGATGAGGTGTGGGCGGGATAATTAAAATTGAGTACTACTTTTTCTTACACGAAGATGAAAATGTCACGAAACGACTGTGTTTAAATGAATTGTTTAAAAAACCTGACCTATTTGATCTCACGGGGTTTTTTTTTCTTGGTTACTTGCATAGAACTCATATACATACGTTGATTGTACCTGTGCAGTCCGATATTTTACGATGTCAGTCCGATGAAACGATGAAATATCTTGAAGACAACGTTGTCTTGACCTTCAAGACATTAAGCAAAACGGCCATATAACTTTAAAAAAAACGTTTGATGTGATATTATATATTAGATAAGTCAAGCTATTTCCTCATGAGCATAAAAAGATTGCTTATCAGTTTAAAAGGGCCTGCTAGGTACATGCGACACCCGTTTCTATTTATAAACTAAAAATTATTCTAGAACGGCGACCGGCAGTAGCAGACAAAACAATCTCGTATTTCTCGTCTGTACTGAAAAAAGAACTAGATTCCTGGTAGATTTGCCGAAGGAACTGTGATTGTCAAATATATTTCCAGATTACAAATTAAAACTGGGCGAGGACAAAATTGCATACATGTTGCCTAGGCAAACGATAACTCCAGAGGACGACATTCTGCGAACACTCGTGACCCGCGTGTTGCTCTATAAAAACCAAGTCTACTAATTCAGCATTTTTCATTACGTACGATTTCATTTTTTCCCCACCAAATTCAAGGTGAGGCTCTAATCCAGACCAACTCTTTTTCTGGGACAGCACCTTAGAGCCAGCGTCGAAAGAACGAGAGAATAATGCTGAATGATCGGCGTACATGTTCCAATAAAACAATAACGAAGCTTTCGGTTTTTTAGCGACTCTATAGGATGCTTAAAATGTCAGTTAAACGTAAGTTGAAATTTTGCAAGATAACCAGTATAGCAAGAGTTGAAATAACTGAAGAGAGCGTGCTATTATAGATCGACTGGCTTTCGGCCTCGGGAAACTTAAGCCACAGAATTGGTAATTGGCTCTTGTAGCTCTTTCTACAAAAAGCGAAAGAACAAACCTTGCACGAAGCAATAACTTTTAACCGTTTTTACAGCAAAAGATGTTAAGCTAACAAAAACGCCCTTTCATGCATCTTTACCTGAATTCTGTTGTCCTCCTCTTCAATGCTTGCTCACTCGCGAGTCTACTTGCAGTCAACCTGTTCTTTCTGGAATGAACTATTGTACCCACAGGGCTGTGTATTCAATACAATTTGAAGTGATACAGTCTGTCTGGCACACTGCCCTGTGTGGACACCTCTAGGAGGATGAAGTCTTTTAAATTGACTGATGACCAAACAAAATGGCAAATAGTTGTTTCGTTAACCCCAGAACAAAACGCAAGCTAAAATTAATTGTGAGACCTTTGCTTTAATTTAATAATAATTTGATGTTTATGTGATATCCGAAATTTGTCCCATGTAATTTAAGCTCGTATAATCTCGGCGGGGTGTGGGCAGTGAACTATAACTTGAGCTGGGTTCTCGAGAAGAAAGCTTTACCGCAGAATGAAGATAGAGATTTCAATGTTATTGGTTGACTCACAGGCGCGTTTTGAAAAAATTAGTTCTTTTCTATTAACTTCTGATTAGTAACAGGGAACAAACGAAGTCCTTAGGTTTTCTCGAGTGGATTACTTTGGCGGGAAGGTTGAAAAACTCCTGATCAAATCATCGCTCGAGTGTGTAACATAAAAAAAAACAGAG